CTGTTTTGCTGCGTTTAACATATCATAAAAGCGTTTCGCATCTGCATTGGGCTCCTCAACAGTATCAGCATGTGTTTCATGAAATGCATCAGTAATCATTTCATGCATCCTATCATGATCTTCACCCTGAACTTGACTACTTTGATAATCATTGGACGCTTCAAAATCCACATGTTCTTGATGATTACTACTACTCCGTGCAGCCATCTGACCACTACTTTGACCATATCCCTCTCCATGCTGATACCAAATAAAGTATTGGGGCATGAACCCTCTATTCAATAAATGCTGCCAGACAGTGTCAATAAGAATATGTTTCCTATTTTTGCATTTCACACAAGGACAATACATTTTGCCGCTTTCAATTACAGTTTCCAGAAGGCCGGCTTGGTACATGAATATTTCCCATCCGTTTTTGAAGTCTTCAGTCAACGACCCATCACCATTTTTGGGCGTATACATCCACTTTCGTAGATCGTATATAGACATTTCAAAAACAAATATTTGACTTTTTGTTTCTGAAATTTGATAGAAATTTCAACTACTAAAAATTTTACTTAAACATTCAAAGACTCAAAAAATTTGTGTCTTTATATGTTTTTTTGGTTGATGGAATAATGAGAGAAGAAAGGGTATATATAGAATTTTTTGTTTGGTTACCAACATATTACCATTGCATATTTACATCAAATTTACGTCGAAATAAAATTTACATCACATTTACATCGATTTTACGTCAACTACAAGATAGAGGACAATTCGTCGTATTATCGATGTAAATATTACGACAAGATTACGACGAAATAAAATTCGTTCTTTATTCGTCGTAATATCGTCGTAACATTACGACGATCTTACGAGGGTTATTTTTTACGTCGAATTTACGACGAAATTTTCTATCGTCGTAAATAATTCGACGGAAAAGCCCCTCTTTCTTGTAGTGTCCTCATTTGCAAAAAAAAAAATTATTCTCTCCAATAAGATAAAGAGTCAAACATTTTTTTTATGTTCGGCTAACCATTTGTGTTTGATTTTTATTTGGTTATTTATCTCACATGTATCACGGTTGAACCATACCATATACTTAAATCATTTTTTCGCATAATCAAATACACTGTCACTATTCGGACTCTTAACATTAGTCTTGATTAGTGAATGTGAAAATTCAGGTTTTGTAAATTAAAATATTATACATTCTGCAAGTAGTTTTTTACTAATCAAGCATTATTTTGTATAGTTTATTATGTATTAATCATATTTTTTTTGATTGGCCTGCATATACTGCAGTTGAACCATATTGAAGTTCATAAATTTATACAATTCTTTATTCCTTAATCAAAATAAATAAATTAATTACAATTATATTAATTATTATATATTTCCTATATATTTCATCTATAATTTGTAATCTGCACCTAGTCTTATTCACCATTAAAATATTTTAATGTGGACCATAAGCTGCTTTTTCACCAATCAAACATTATTCTGTACCGCTTATTATATACAAACTGTACTTATCCTGCTAATATATTTTCTCGCACGTACCGCAGTTGAACCGTACCACATTCTTAAACTGCTTTTCCTGCACAACCAAAAACGTCGTTACCATTCGGACTTACGGCTGTGAATGGTAACTAATGAAACGCGGATTTTGAAATAAATTTTAGAAACCCGCACATGCTTCACCAATCAAGAATTTTTTTCTAAAAGTTGCATTTTTTTAAAGCATTCGAGGTTTTTAACCAATGGATAATATCTTGGACCGCCTTTCAAAACAGACCACTGTATTTGTCCAGTGTTTTTTTTGAAAATTTCAATATCAATACTGTGTTTTATCCATTGTACAAATCCGCAATCTGAAAAAAAAAATGCAATAGCATACCAAAAAACTCTGATTGGTGACTATATAGCAGTTTTACTTTTTTTAAAAAAAATCTTTTTTTCCTTTGTCACCATTCAATGCCCAAATATTTGAATGCTGAATAAAACTAAAGCAGTGTGGACAGATTATAAATAAATATATTAGAAATATATTATTAATAAATTTAAACTACAAAAATTTATCTAAAATATTTTTTATTTATATATGTTCATATACATTTAAAAATATTCATAAATTTAGAATACTTTGCTGTATCAACAACTTAAATAAGATTCTGAATCTATAATATGTATTTTCCTTTTTGTCATTATATATGCAAAGCCTAAATCTAAAATAATATGAAATTTTGATAAAATTATATAATTATACTGTAATCGTTATTATTTTGTTATGTACAGTTACATGAATATTACTATACTTTGAGAAATGATATATTAAAAAAATTAAAAATATATTTAATGTTCATTAAAACAAGATATTTAATATAGGTGTTAAATAATTTATTGTAATTTAAATATAATCTAATTTTTATTAGAATAAAAAAAATCTTATATTTAAAATTAAAGTAAACCGAAGATTGGTTAAAAAAAGATTTGTCAAAATGTTATATATATATATATATATAAGTGTATTTGAAAAGCGTTTTTTACCTGCCCACACCTATTTGCAAGCATCCAGATTTTGAAAAGCGGATTTCACTTTAGTGAGACATCAAAATTCATGCACGGATTTGGGTAAGTTTTTTTTTTTCAAAAAACATAAAAGAGAAAGCAATATATTTGATTGGTGACAATAAAGCGTTTTTCCAAAAATCTTCGAAATCCGTCATGCTTTATTATCACTATTCAAGGTCTTGAATTATCCATCTACTATGATTTTTCACATGTGTCTCAGCAGTCACATCAACATCTTCTATTTTCCTCGCTCATTTACATGTTTCCCGTCTATACATCATCTCACATCATCTCTTACTAATTTATCACTTGTTGCGTATTTTCCTTTTAATTTTTAAAGTAGGCTATGCCTAGTGTCATGAGTAATTCTATTTTTTGGTGTTTCTTTTTGGTGTTTTGTTAAATAAATGCATTGTCATCTAAAAGTATTTGTTTTGACATTTAAATTAGCATATTGCCTTCATGTTATTTTGTTTGTATGAGGATAAAAAAAATATGTGTCATTCCCTTCATTTTCATGGTTCTCGATCCACCAGCGGATCCTCCTTCTTTTTAACGTAGACAAAAAAATTGTTTAGTATGGTTGACCATCCACAATGTATTATTTATTTACTTATTACATTAAATGAGAAAAAAAATTGTGGCTCATCCTCTTAGGTAGTAGGACCACATTTTTCCCACTTCCCATTCAGACCAAATATAATTTGGATCGCTTGATCTGCAATTGTTCCGCTTAATCCATTTGATATGCACTTGATCGATCTGCTCTGCACTTGATCCGTCAGATCCGCACTTGATCTGTCTGATCTTTTTTTCTCCATTCATAGCCTTCATGTTAGAGTTTCATGCGGAAGCATGAATATTGAACACATACGTTAGCCCAATTCAGCGATGAATATGACTTGGTATAATCTGTAATGCAGAGATAAAAAAAAAGATCACTGATGGAAATCAACCACTTATCACCGTTCAATTGCCCTTCCAATTGATTTCTCAAGCTTTCTCTCTCTAAAAAAGTTTTCTCTCTCTTCTATATTTTTTTGGTTTAGCAACAGTCACCAACTGTTATAAACACACACATTCTTCTCTCTCTAATATCTCATATATATATATACATAGTAAAAAACCATATTCTAAAGTCATATCTGTTTGTTTAGAGAAGTTACAAGAACTAATTTCCTATAATTATTGGTTTAATCAAACTGGTTTGGTATGCTGCCAAATCATAGGCGCAAACCGATTATAAACTAACATTTCATAATCGCAAACAATTATAACGATGCACCTCGGGATACGAAACCCAAAACCCAAATCTGAATACTTTCGATACTGACTCTGGACATGTTCGTTTGCCTGACGCCGGCGGCTGCTGCCGTGGTTTGCTGCTAGACACTGCTACCAGACGCAGCCAGTTATTGTTTGTTTGACAGCCGCGTGTCTAATCTCTGCAGCTAATCACAAAAATTTCAGTCGAAACGCTCAATAAATTTGGATGTAGTAATCTGCGTCTAGATACTGCATTTTAGCCGCATGTGGCTGCGACAAGTAAACAGATATCGTATAGTCGTAGCCTCTTGCGGTAGGCAAATGAACAAATCTCATATATAGTGAGTTGAGTCTTTGAAGACATAAGGAGAGCTCCTGTGAGACTTCACTCCCTTCTTCCCTAACCGAGAACCAGACGGACTGACTATCAAATCCATGAGACCCTGAATCTGCCTTTCATCTAGATTGGCTATCAACTCTGAACGCCCCCAATCGCCCCTACCAGTGAACCCAACGGCGTATAATCTGGTGCCCAACGTCCTCTCTTCTAGGCCTATTAACCCACCAACCGCCCCTACCAGTGAGCCCAATGTCCTCTCTCTCTAGGCTCATTGGCCCACCACTGTCCGACGGTTGGCCTCTTTCTAGGTCCATTAGGCTCACCCCTGTCCGACGGTTGGGAGTCGCTTGGTCCGAGAGGCTCGTAAGAATTGTCTACTGTCCCTGATATCACCACGTGATCTTTCCCCATGCTTTGTCTTCACTCGTACGGTACCGTAGACTACTTCCCGGTAGGTCACCCATCCTGAGATTGCTCAGGCATAAACACGTTTAACTTCGGAGTTCTCTCAAGACATTTGACTAAAAAACATAAATGCACTTTAATAACATAGGTAGCAAAATCAATTCTTATAAACCTTTTCATATATACCGGAAATTGGGATGTCACAGCTTTGCTTTTCAAACACTTGCTAAATATATGTGATAGGTTGATTAAAACTTGTCTTTTTGCTTTCCAAATTGTCAAAAGACTATCACATGAATCAGGGAGATAAACTAAAACTATGAGGAATTTCTGTAATAAGTAAAAACTATAAGACACAGATGTAAATAAACGAAAATACTTCGAATATATATGTTAAAAAAAAAAAAAAAAAAAAAAAAAAAAAAAAAACTAGGAGAATAAAAGGAACACTCTCGCTTCTCTTCGTCTCGCCTCCATAAAACTATTCTCGCAGCCAGTCCTTTCTGTGTCTTGAGTTTCCGGAGCAAGCAGGTGTAATTTCGCCTTTGAATCTTCCTTAAAGGGACTTCTGCTTCTTGATTTTTTCCAGATGATCATATAGTTCTTCGTTAGTCTAATCGGGTTTGTTTCATCAAGAGTATTTAGGGTTTCAATTTCTGTGTTTGCAGATGGCGAGCAATATAATCATGTTCGAGGATATCTTCGTGGTCGATAAGCTAGACCCTGATGGCAAAAAGTTCGATAAAGGTACAAACTTTTTAACCTCAAATCACGATTTCTCATCCCTTGTTATAGCTTAAGTCGATGTTACCTATTTACCTGTTTCGTTTCTGATTATATCGTGGTTTCTTCTATTTTTTTTTCGAGTTCTAGAGATATCAGAATCGTAAAAAAGAAAAAAGAGAACTTTAGAAGTTTTTAGTTCTCCAATCACTCAGTATTTGTTCTGTCTTTGAACTGAGAAGCTTTCTCATAGAAAACGTAGACAATGATTATGTCTCTCTGTTTGTCTCAGTTACGCGTGTTGAAGCGAGGAGCCACAACTTGGAAATGTTTATGCATTTAGATGTTAACACAGAAGTTTATCCGATGGCTGTTGGTGATAAATTCACAATGGCGATGGCTCCAACGCTTAATCTCGATGGAACACCTGATACCGGATATTTCACTCCGGTATTGTGATATTGTCTATGTTTTTGTGTTTCTACACATTTCTCATGAATGGTAACAGTGGATTTAGTTCATGTAGTCTATTGATTCTATGTGTAATGGTGTTAGGATTTTGTTAAGGCATTACTGTTAAATGTGAATCGCTCCACATAAGAATTCAGTTCTATCTAAGAAAATATAAGAGTACTTTTTGACCAAGCCTCTTGTTTCTTGTATCTTGATTCGTTTTGTGTTTACTTTCTATGTTGTGTTTATAACAAATTTCATGTCGAGTATGTGTTTATAACAAATTTTCATGAATGGTAACAGTGGATTTAGTTCATGTAGACTGTTGATTCTATGCGGAATGGTGTTAGGATTTGCTATGGGATAACTGTTAATGTGAATTGCTCCACCTAAGGATTCATTTCTATCTAAGGAATTATAAGAGTAATTTGACCAAGCCTCTGGATTCTTGTATCTTGAAAAGCTTAACCTTGAAAGCCAAGAAGATGAAATCTTTATGTACTTTTGTCTCGATTCGTTACAGGGAGCAAAGAAAACGCTTGCAGATAAGTATGAATACATCATGCACGGGAAGCTTTACAAGATCACTGAGCGTGATGGCAAAACTCCAAAAGCGTAAGAATCCCACCAAAATCGAACTTTCTAAATCACTGTTTGCCAAAATAGATCCAGTTTAGCATACAGAGGTTTAACCGATCATGTTTTGGGTTTGTTTCCTTTTGTTATGTGTTTCCAGAGAGCTATATGTTTCGTTTGGAGGCCTCTTGATGTTGCTTCAGGGAGATCCAGCTCACATCTCTCACTTCGAGCTCGACCAGAGGCTTTTCCTACTTATGAGGAAGCTATAAGATGCGATTGTCTGATCATTATCCGCCATTTTTAGCATAGAGAACCGAATGAACAGAGAGCTTTATAACGCTTTTGTCTTATGTTCAACTCTGCTTTTTTTTATGTTAGGCTACTTTCAGGAAGCAGCTCTTGTACAAAACCAAGTTCTTCTGTACCGTTTTAACATCCTCATGCACAATTTAACTACTCAATTCAAACGAATTCGTAGCTCTAAGCTAAGGAGCATAAGAATTTGAGATGATAGCTTACAAAAAAAAAAAACATAGACACTGATTTGTTTCAAAATTTGATTCCAATAAAACTCAAAATTGTTCAGTCAGGCTTGATCAAGGCACAGGAATGTAACTTTGTCACCAAGTGAACTTCCTGGAGTTGTTACTCGTGCTTGTATCCTGACGCCTTGCCACTTCTCCCAACTATGAAAGGCTCAGGCGACGTATTGTCGCTGTTTATCTCCAGACCACGATAAGCGCGGTTGAGGAAGTACTCAGGTCCTGATTTTGCAGCGGTTTGTTTAGTGAGCGAGTTATGATCTTTGCCTCTTAATTGCAATGCTCTCTCTGCAGCACGTACTAACGCCATTGTCTCTTCTGTGTCTTCCTCACCATTCTTAGCTTCATCTGCAGCAAGTAAACTGTTTGTCAGAAACTCATGGAACAAAACAAGAATGGCGTTTGCTGATTGAAAAAAAAATGTATCTAAGCTTCTATGATACCGTTTGTATCTTGCTCTTCTACATAGCCACCCTGAAAGAAGGAAAACCGTGGCTCCTCCGATCCGCTATGTGCTTCCGGTTCTGGTTTTGAAGAGTTAATCACATCTTGGAAATGCATTAGGTATGCACCTGTCCATTCACTCCCTCTGGAAACAGAAACCCCAAAGAAACTGATTATAGATCAAATTATAAAAAAGCTTATTTGCATTACAATAATTTCTCTCTATACCTGCTAAAAGCAAGATTGGCTTCAAATGGAGTTATGACAGGGGCCATGAACTCTTTGCTATCTAAAAGAGCGGTTTGGGCGCATGAGATGTAAATGAAAACATCACACTAGGAAAAAAAAGAAGACAAAGAGACATTGCTCATTTGACAGATCTCAAATTGATGGTTAAAAGTTAGATGACAAGCCACTATTTTAACTTACCTCAGGGAAGTTTGCTAGTTTAGCCGGGTTAGGCCGCCCCATGGCAAGAATGTACGATTTTTTTCCAGCCGCTGATATGAGTGCTTGCATATGGTGAATCATGTGAAGGTAACCAGCTGCATTCAATGCGAGATAATATTAAAACATGGATTATCTTATCAGTCTTGGCATCACACAGGCAGATATATAGTTTGAGAAAGGAACTTACCAACACCAAGAGTCCCCACCAAAATACCTATAATATTCGCGTCCTTGGCTTTTTCCACCAAGTAATATCTGCAAACACATCACTTTGACTCAAAAGGACAGACGAAACTCGATATTGTGTTGTATGTTGTCTGCTTGAAACAAGTGATCATACCTTCGTTTAAGTATCTTTCTCTGTTGAGTGAATTCTGTCTCCAAAGAATCTTCTTCTGCATCATATCTGACTAAGTAAGATCACCAAAACAAAACAAACCGAGTAAGTTACCGAAACGTTTGACATCACCAGGAGCTAGATCAAGAAATTTACATAGATAAAGCCATATATATACCTACATCACAACCATTGAAGGTCAGTACAACATTGGCAAAAGCTGAAGAGTCAGAACCGATCCAGAAAAGTAAATAGTCCTCGATTTTGTTTCCTTGCGGTAAGTCCCATGTTAACCCTCCTAGTCTATAGTTTCTAGATGAGGATAAGTTATCACTAGATGGTCCTGGATGCTCCATTGATTCCCGAGGATCTTTGGATGGGCTAATGAATGAACACAAGACATTGGCTACAGAGAACTTCAACTTGGATAATCCTAGTTCTCGAATACAAGGAATCACATGAGCGTATTCTAGTCCATAAAGAATCTGTAACCAACGCAAGAGAGAAACAAAAAGAAAGTCAAAAACACAGAACCCTTTTATCTCATCATAAACATAAACTAGGTTCCCAATACCATTATAGGCTTATCGCTCTTAGACGCGTAATCTAGCAAATGCTTTACGCAGCTCGAGACATTTATCGAAGCTTTCCCGAAAACGAAGAATGCTGGAAGAACAGATGTCCTGAGGAAAAACATAAAACCTCAACAAGGGGATTTACAGCAATTAACACAAAATCAAGAGGCAGGGGTTTATGTAAAACTCACGGGCTTAGACATGTTTGTCCGTAATGGACAACACAATCAGAATCAATATGCAAAGCTGCAACTTCATCAACGCAGCAACTACCATAAGTTGTGTCCGCCATAACAAAGAATCTAACTTCTCTGTCATCTTCAGTAAGAAAACGAGTTTTGTTCTTAAGTGCACTCACGACCCTTGTTGAATCCTTTAACAACTCATCTGGAAACTATCAAAGAAGCAAAACCTAAACTTTATCATCCCCGATTCACTAAATTAACAATTGGCTAAGAGAGAAGTTAACTCATAAAAGTTTTGCTACCTGTAAAGCTATTCTGGTGAAGCTTTTGCTGATTATGAACTCCGCCGTCCGATCAATCTCATACCTTGATTCAAATTCAGTCTCCATAGATAAATCCCAGAGAGTAATGAACCCTTCTCCGGCCGAATAGCTTAAATCGGAGAAGAAATAAACGAGACGAAGATTAATAATCGTTGAACGACACCGTTTATGTTAGTCAAGTGAAAGTCAAAACAAAATGTTAACCAAAAAGTGCTGAAGTACATCACCATGCACTAGTAGCAGGCACTATATCATATTGTATTGATAAGGTAGACATCTCTATACTATTATTGACTAGATATTTTTATAAATAAATCTTTATTTATAAAATATTATAAAATACTTTATATAAATAAATATTTTTTTATTCAATTATTACAATCATATTTCGTCTATCGTAGAAGTGGTTTATGAACGACTAGTTTGGTATGATCGATTTAGAAAAAACTATTCCTCTTGTTCCAGCTCCTTTTGCAAGACTATCCGCCCGAATATTTTGAATTTTCGGAATATAGGATAAGGTGAACTCTGAAAAGCTCTCGCGAAGAATACAAAAGTATAAATAATTATTTATTTATAAAATATTAAATAAATAAATCTTTACTTATAAGATATTATATAAATAAACTTTACAAATATAAAAAGTTTAATTTCTTCACTTAAATATAAATTTCATAAATTTATTTTGAATATATATAGATATTAAACAAAAATGTATTTAATTTCTTTATTTATTAAAATATTAAAATCTATTTTATTATTTTAAATAATAATCAATCCATATATATAAAAAAATCTATTTAAACTTTTTCAGTATTTTTCATTTGTATTTTCATAATTAATTAGTATCATTTCGAAAATCAATATAATTATTTTAACTAAAAACGAAACATGTTTTCAAAATTTAAAATAATAATTTTTACGGGTTAATTTCTTAAATATTTTATTAAATTGTAAAATAGATTAAGTAGTCTACTTTGAAATTTTATATATAATTATTATTTAAACTTTTGCAATATTTTTCATTTGTATCATTTCAAAAATTAATTCAATTATTTTTATAAAAAAAATCAATCATGTTTTCAAAATTTAAAATTGTAATTTTTTTACGGATTGATTTCTTAAATATTTTAGTAAATTGAAAAATAGATTAAGTAGACGGATTTCCACTTTGACAATCATATATATAATCATTATTAACACATATTATAGAACTCATTAAGTAAATATGATAGTTTGGTCTCTAACAAAATATTCACAATTAAATATTTATTTAGATTCTAATCCATGTTAGTATTTATATACTTATTTGTGTAGTGATTTGCTTACGTGTCGCGCTCACGGCGAATTTTACAGTCTTTCACTTATGTTATGTGTCAGCTCCAGAATTAGTTTCGCCTACAAAAATACTGTTTATCCCCATTTTACAATTACATGTCATTTTTTATTGGTTATTATCTTATGATGTGTTAAAAAAAACTTAAAATAAAACGATCTAAATTTTTATGGTTTAATTTTTAATTCCAAAGTCAATCAAACCGTTTTTAAAATTACATAAAACCAAAATTTAAAAAAAATTAACAAAAGCGTTTTTTAATAAAAACACAAAAAAATTTTAGAAAAAAAAGAATCTATATCTCTTAGTATTTACCATTTTATATGTTCCTAGAATTTAGAAAAAAATCTAACAAAACTGTTAAAAGAAAAAAAATAGAATCTATTTAATTAAAGTTTAATAAAATGTCGTTTCAAAAAAAATATTTAACAAAAAATCTAACAAAATTTTTAAAAAAAAAAAATATATATATATATATATATATCTATCTATCTAATTAATGGAATCTCGTTTAAGAAAAAAGGAAATCATGATTATAAACCACTTACATCGTTTAAAAAAATATTATTATATGGATAAAATTTCTCTTATATATATTTTTGTTGACAACTATAACTAATTTTAGAACTATGATTATAAACCACCTCTATCATTACTATTTTGTAGGAAAACAGGTTCTACAAATGGCATAAGTCAATGATTTTGGAGACAAAGTCATTGTTTTTGGGGAAGATTTTCGGCAGGTACTCACGGTAATACCAGATGCATGTACAAATATAACAGTAATGGCTGCGTTGAATGCATCAAAGCTTTGGAAAAAAATATAAGGTTCTACGGCTGACCAAAAACATGCGACTACACACCGGTCTAAGTGAGAGTGATGCAAATGATATAAGATCTTTTTCAAAATGGATTCTGGAAATCGGAGAAGGGAAAATAAATGAGCCTGATGATAGAAAAACTGAGATAAAGATTACAAAAGACTTATTAATTAAGGATTGTGATGATCCAGTAAAAACTATAGTAAGGGAAATATATGGAGAATCAATTGCTAATAGAGATGGCCTCACGTTTTTTAAGGAACAAGCTATTTTGGCCCCAACAAATCTGGATGTAGAGAGAATTAACGAGTATATGATTTCACAATTAACAGGTATTATTTCTTTGACAATACAATATATGTTAACACGTCTTCCTACTTAGATTTTGAATATCTCATAACTTTCTAATTGTCTAATTCTATAGGTGAGGAAAGAGTTTATTTGAGCGCTGATATCATTGATCCATCGGATAGAGTGGTAATTCCAGAAGATGATATAGATACTTTGGACAAAGATTTTCTAAAAAAAAAATATTGTCTACACACAAGAATTTTTGAACATCATCAAAATTTCAGGCTTTCCTATCATAGACTGGTTCTGAAGATCGGACTCCTATTTTCTTGCGTAGAAACATTGATCCAAAAAGAGGATTGTGCAATGGCACACGGTTTATTGTCACTCAGTTAGCAAATCACGTTATCGAAGCAAGAGTGATAACAGGAAAATCTAACAGTGATGTAGACGAGAAAGTTTTAATCCCAAGAATGTTTGTTACTCCAGCCGATGCAAGATTCCCTTTCAAGATGCGCAGAAGACAATTTTCAGTATCGCTTACTTTTGTAATGACGATAAACAAAAGTCAATGTCAAACTTTGGAGAATGTAGGATTGTATTTACCAAAACCAGCTTTCTCTCATGGTCAACTTTACATTACACTTTCAAGAGTCACAACGAGAAAAGACTTAAAGATATTGATCACTGACAATAAAAGAGCACCGCAAAAACCACAAAAAAAAATATAGTCTACAAGGAGATTTTTGCCAACATATACACTATATTTTTTAAATATTATTTAGAGTAAGATATCAAACTGTATTAAAAGATTATTTCATTACTATTTACAAAGTTATTTAAGACGGTTTTATGATTAAATGTAAAGTTTTCAATTTTATATTCATATCAGAATCAGTTATTCACAATACACAAACTAAAAATTACTCTGTTTTAGTTCAATATTTTTTGTTAATGTGTTTAACTTCATTATTATCTAGGAGTGCTATACTATATATTATCTTTCATTTGATAAAAAATAGGCTACAAGAAATTATAAAAACAATTACGCACAACAATAGAGATGTTTTAAACAATGAAAAAAAACATCCAAAATTTTATTTATCTAATTGCCACCATGTTAATTAATTTATTTATATTTTTGTTAAAGGATTTTTGTCACCAAATTAAATTTAATAAAAAAAAAATTAAATTTAAAATAATTTAAAAAATATTACTCCGCACAATGTGCGGGTTAATTTCTAATTATCAATAATTAAAAAGTATAACATACATCTTTAATTTTGTAAAGTTTCACTACAAAAATGTTTATGAGTTTTTCTATTTCGCGGGTTAAAAAAAAAACACTTCTATGGGGATTAAATCTATTACAGATAATATTTTTCTCAAAGCAATGTTTCTACCATGATAATGTTTACGTCGTGAAGAAGCGGAGGCAGACCTCTCCCATCGATAACGATGAGAGACCCGAGAACGCGAGCTCCACCACCATAGACGCCGAGCTCATCGCGTTGCGTTCGCCGGAAAAAATGGAGAGGAAGAAATCTGAAAGGTTTTCTTGGCGAATGGAGGTACAAAATCTTAATTCAAAATTCTTGTTTTGCTTTCAATCCAGTTACAAAAATTAACCATCGTTTTTTTTGTTATAAAAATTCAGAGAGGTGAGATCTCTATGTCGAAGATGTACCGTCAATCGATTATGTGGGAGGTTGAAGATGAGTACCATGAACAAGTATAAATACCATATGAAGTGATTTAGTTTATAAAGAACACATTTGGCACAGCGGCAACAGAGAATTATTACCCTTGAAAGACCTTGGTTCAGGTCCTCGAAAGTGTTGTTTAATTTTAGTTTTTTTTCTTTTATCTGAGACTATCTACAATAGTTTTGATTTTCAACACCCTCTTTTTTCTCTTTTATCACTTCACATCATCTTCTCTCTCTTTCACCTAATCATTCAACACACAATTCAACTTTTATATTCACTATGGTTTTGTTTAATAAAAAATTCAACATTCTACCTCACTACTTTTACTTCATATTTTTATATCTTTTATGATTTTTATAATATAAATTAATAATAATTTTCAATAAAATTAAATTAAATATTTTAAATTTTTAAATTTTTTAAAACATTTAATTTTCAATAAAAATAATTTATAAGGATTTAAGAGATAATTTATAAGGGTTTATAAGACTATAAAAAAATTGTTTGTTATTGTTGTGTGACTTTAAAAACACATGTTATTGAAGCAGAAAACAAAAAACATGTTATTAAAGCAGAAATTAACAAACATATATTATTAAACCATAATTTGGTATATTTTAGGGTTGCTTGGAAGATTGATTTGGAAAAAAGATAATTGTTAGGATTTGTATAGTAAAAAAATAATTAGAAGAATTTTAGGAGCTAAGAAGATTATTATTCGGATCCATTTCACTAAAAAAAAACGGATTAAAAAATAAACAAGAGCTTATTTGAAGCTAATAAAAAGTATAGTAAAATATAGTTTTCTTTTTCTGTGTCCAAATTAAGTGAACCAAGTCTCTATTTATAAAGAATAAAAAATGATGAACTTTTATACAAAAATTTAAAATCAGATATATTCTTCTATGAAATAATTGATTTCAAATAATTCGGATAAAAAAATATCAAAAATTTAAATAGCTAATAAGAATACAACATGTGTTATTATCTCTCCACTAATTATAA